TATATATATATATATATATATATATATATACATATATAAAATAACAAAGAGTACTAAAAGTGGCATAATTTCTGCAATGGCTACTACTCTGTATGATTTAAATGCTGTTGAGAAATACCTAAAGAAAACATTTCTAAAGCTGTATGTGAAAATGTCCTGCATGTTAAAGTATGTAAAGGAAGCCTTCCTTCATATTAAAGATTCAAAATATCATAAATGCATAGCTCCTTTTACATCTATTGGAGCCTCTGAACAAGACATAAAAACACATTAAATTAATTCAGATTTCTTTGCAGCAGTATAATCTCACAATGAAAAATGGAAAGAGAATCAGCTCTTTGAATTGTTTAAGCTCAGTGAAGGAAGAGCTTATTCATAAACAGTATGTTTATGTACATAATAAATGTACTCATAGTTCTTTTAAAAGTGGAGGCACTTATATCTTAGGACTTCCTGTTTTCCTGTAATAGAAATATGATCTTAAACAGTGACCTATTTCTTTAAGCCACTCTCAAACCAGGAAAACTAAGAGTATATGCTAGGCTATTTCATTTAGGCAAATTTGCGTTTATCATTATATGCCAGGAAATTAAAATAGTTCAAACTTAGCTATATCTATCACCAGAGTAATGAATAAAAAGTTTAAATTATCTGCAGCTTGAGCAAATGAGCCTGAATTATGACACAATTTCATGGTTCCTAAACGGTTTGAAGAGGTCTGGAAATATTAAGACTTCAATAAAGTTATTTCCTAAATATAAATTTAAAGAAGGGAAATAATTAATTTATTCTTTCCATTGTGCAAAAGTTGTAACTATCAAACCATACGAGTTTATACTGCCTTCACACACAATGAAGGTGACAGTGATTGAGACTTTAAAAAAAATCAATAGCAGTGTCAGAAAACTGCAGCAGCTTTTTTTGATGTGAGATTATGCTACTACTACTGCTGCTCTTATTCTGTTTGTCTACACAAAGGGATTTGTTGAAGGTACGCTTCATAAAAAAAAGTTAGATAATTGCAGCCATTTAGTAGATTTTTTTCCCTCATGTTTTAATTTAGGATTTTTACAAGAGGATATTCCTCTAATATAACTAAAATACCTAAAGTAAAGGTGAACTAAGAGTCATACATTTATGAATTCTTAGATATATGTGGTATATGTCTGTTCGGATTAGCCCTCAGTTTGACTTTTTGTAATTCAGCCTTTTCCTTTGTCTCTCAGTGAATGACTCAAACGTTCAGTTCCTGGACCAGGATGATGATGACGACCCAGACACAGAGCTCTACCTGACTCAGCCCTTTGCCTGCGGAACCGCCTTTGCAATCAGTGTACTCGACTCCCTAATGAGTGCGGTAAGCTTTTAAACACTGCTAAACCTCTGGGATAAAATATGTCAGGGTTTTCTACTGCCTATTGTGCCATGCCGGATCTTGTACTGTCTGTAACAGCAATTTCAAAGTAAAATTAATAAAAAAATAAATAAATAAAATGAAGATAAATTGCTGAACATGAGAGACACTACTGTTAGAGTAAAAAGCTGCCAATACATTGCATTTCTAGCGTCTGGGAGATTTGGTGAATTGATCCTGCTGCCAGCTTTTTGGGGTCTAAAACAACATTTGCAATATAGATATCATGAACTTTATTAAGGATTCTTATAACTGGGATGACACCAGCTATAATAGACTTACAAACCCTCTTCCATCATCTTCACAACAGAATCACATCACCATGGATGAAATTAAAAAGGTGATGGGAGAAAATCTTTTGTAAATTCTTTCCTCTGCATCTCATGACCACCTATAATTCTTTCCCTCCCCATTCACTGGTGTGATGACTTAATTCCTGCAGTCCTTTGGCTGAATGAGAGGTTAGAAGGCCGAGTGGTGCTGAGCTGTGCGGGGAGTAAAACAGGCGTCAGCTTTAGTCTGAAAGTGGTCAGAGGTGAAGCCGGCTAATGGACACTGCTCATCCATCATGAAGCTCTGCAGGCCTGTCAGGGGCCCAGAGAGAGGTGCTGCCACTCTGGCCTCGCTGCCGAGTGACATCGGCTGTCTTAGCACAAGGAAAAAGCTGGGCACGAACAGCTTGAAGGACAAGTGAACCAGACACCTAGAGAGCGCAGTCAAACTGGTGTCCCTAAGGAGAACAGAGATATTGTTCAGTGTGTAGAACAGCATTCACAGAAGAACAGTGATAGTTTAAGTACTTCTGCTTTATTTTGTAAAAACTCTGTGAAACCAGATGGGTGTTTGTATTCGATGTGAAAAGAAAAAAATAGATATTGATCAGTTTTGTAGACATAGGATGAATAAATTAGAATTGTAATGTAGTAGAAAAAGTGTAGAAAGTTTTAGTTTTCTTTATTTAAAAAAATATGTGGCATGCATATTCATTCAGCCGCTGGTTTTAGTCTGACACAGCTAAATCAAATTCACTGTAAACAACTGGCTTTGAGGTAGGAGTTGGAAGAGGGAAGCTCGCTGTGAATGAACCCAAGTTCTGTTTGCCAGAGGCAATCCAGGGGAACTATTAAAGGCATAGAAGAAGGTGGTTTGTTTTGTTCCTCTCCTCTTTACAGGTATTTTTGCACATAGAATGTTGGTTCTTCACAATACCGGTAATGGAATATATTGACATTTGTGATGGTCAGATAAGAATCCCTGTTGTGGGAAAATGAGTAAAAAAAGCTTTGTAACATTTTTTATGATCTTTTCTATTAAGACTACCACACGTTGTTTTAATGTGCAAAGAACAAAATTCCCTGCGTGTACGAACTTGCAATTGAGTGAGCACACTTGTGGGCTTTTCTGGTTTCAACAATGAGCCCACACAAAATAACAAGCCACTCTTCCACTGTGGAACACACATTTATAGCCATTTAATCATTTTCACCTCTAAAAACAAATGGTTACCCATCATTATTTTCATTCAGATTTGCATCATCAAATATGTATCTGGACTAAATTCTGTTGCAATGACTTATCAGGAGGAACGTAGCCTGCAAAGTCAATGAGTTGATGCAATCAGATGGTTCCCCTCAGATAAAGCACTTTTAAGAAATTTGACTGTATGATCTGATTTAAATGTCTCTGGTAGAGTGCCTCAAGTTGCGTTTTGAATTGGCACTATATAAACTGAAATGACTGATATTGAATAAACAATGTCATGATTAACAAAAATGTAAAAGTGTGTGTAATGAAAATTGTGAAAGGATGGAAATCTATCCATATTGCCTGCACATAAACATAAAGAGAGATGGGGCTGTTACTCCCTTGGAGCAAACCTGTAATCCATCTTGTGTGAGTTATTGAGAAGGAGAAGATGGGATAGGAGCTGGGCTTGAATGAGTTTTGGAATATTATGGTATATGATAGAGGTGTCCAATGCCTGTCCTGCAGATTAGATCTGTCATTTTTTCAACACAACTGATTTCAACTTTTGACGGTATTAAAGGGATTTTAGAATTGCTATGATCTGAATCAGGTTTGTTAAAGCAGGGAAACTTAGAAAGGAAACAAACAAAAAAGCCCCCAAAGAACACGGAGAACACTGGAGAACACCATTATCCAGATCATTGTTACAGAACAGGGCTAGTCTCTTCCTGGATCCTGTTCTTTTCACACTGTTCTTCCTAGAAGTAACAACAGCAAGAAAAGCAAACTTTTCTAAGCTTATCTAAATATGGAGCGACAGCTAGCCATAGGTAAAGCCGTAAAGCTTTACCTATGGCTATATTGACGATTTATACCAGCGTATGTCTGACGTAAGAAAATTCTGCCAGAAATGCTGACATTTCTTGGATAAGTTATGGGTCAGTTTTGTATAAGTTATGAGCACGCTGAGGTACGCTGAAACACGCTGGCACACATCAACATATGGCAAATATGTCGAGAAATTTTGAGCATTCTCAAAAATTTCCCGAGGTATGCCAGCGTATGCTCATACGTTGGGCAATAGTTACAGGTTATCTGATCGTTGACATGCGTTAAGTGTAAGTTACTCATGAGTCTAGGTGTCTAGCTTATCCAAAACCTATGAGTAACTTGTGCATAACTTCTAACTATCTTTTTATTATGTTATCTACTGTATAATGGTGTATTAGCGGCGTTTTGGTATAAAAGAGTTCACAGGAGGAAACCGTCAGTTCTCCTCTAGACTTCATCATCATAGGGTGAGCGCGACTACGACCAACAAACATCCCAGCAGACATGACGCTGAATCTGCTGTGACTGCAAACCTAATTTCTTTATTTTTATTTATTTATTTATTTTTTTGGCAGGTATAAACAGCAGCTAGTTTAATACGGCAATCTTTTTACGCAGACTGGGGGCCTCCGGGGGTATCACTGTTCCCTCAGGAGCACCGATGCGGCTGAGGGGAGCAGCTATTACTGATGCTATGCCCAAAATTGAAAAAACACATAGAAAGTTCAGCATATGCCAGCATTTTAGGAGATTCTGGGACGTCCGGCATACGCTGTCTAAATCTGGATTTATTCTGAGTTAATATCAGCACCTTCTGGCATCTCTTTCTGGTATTTTCCTTAATCATACAGTGTTTAAAGTGTTTAAATTCATACTCAATGCAGAGGAAAGAAGAGTTAAGTATTTTCTGACAATTATTAAGTCCATACATTTCTGACAAAGGCAGAGAGATAAGCAAAAGGAATGATCAACTTGTTGATATCAAAAATGACTCTTAACATTTGCTTTTGTATGATTCAAAGATATATTTGTCAATTATTTCAAATAAAATATGTTGGAAAAAAAAGTTAATTTGATTTTATTGCTCAGCTTTTGATGTCCATAGAATTTGTAGCCCAGGTAACACTTGAGTAAAGTGCGATATCGGTGCAACGTGCAATAGCCGTTTGATTTGCTGATTTAGAAGTGATGTTGTTGATGAAGCAAAGTATGAAATATGTTCTCTCAATTTAATGCATTCACTGACTGAAAAGAAAATGCAAACTGATTTTAGAAAACACTGTGTGACAGTGGTTTAATGAGATTCAGGAATGAATACTTTGCACTTGGCTATCTACTGCATTTTATATGCAAGGCATTCTTATTTGACACTGACCTTTTGGGCTATTCTATGACCTCCAATTCTCCCAGTGGGACTTTCAACTTCTGTGAACCTTCTTGCTCCACTTTATGATGTGTAGGGTCCTATATAGGTGCTTAGTTTATGTTTTTTCTTAAACCAGCTCTATGAAGAGTACACTAAAAGAAACAGAAGCTAATTATTTTTTTTATGTGATAGACATAATTTGAGAATAACACATATTTAAGTTTTCATTCAAACAAAGACGGGTGAAAAATACTGTTCCCTAACCACATTAGCTCATTTTTTTTTTTTTCAGATCTTTACTATTAGACATGGTGAAGGTCAAAATAACTAGCTGTTTCTTACCCTTCTTCTGATTTAACACCTCATCTGGTAACTGGGGGAGTCTTTCTTTCTAACCGAAATCCCATCTGTGTTCTCTCCAGACATACTTCAACGATAACATTCTCACACTAATCCGGACACTAGTCACTGGAGGAGCCACGCCAGAGCTCGAGGGCCTGCTAGCTGAGGAAAACGCTCTCAGAGGAGGCTACAGCACGCCACAGACGCTTGCCAACAGAGACAGGTGTCGCGTTGCCCAGCTGGCCCTGTATGATGGCCCGTTTGCTGACTTAGGGGTAAGCAAACGCTTTGAGTGGAAATGACAACATTTTGGCATTACCTGGCAGCACACATCTGGCTGCCTCTGCTGTTCATCACAATCCTTAATCCTATGTGAACAAAAGTAATCACAAAAAAACAGGCCTCAGTAGGCGGCGAACACTTCAAAAGGGACAAGAGTCCTATAAAGGAAACATTGCTTCCAACTAGTTTTATCAGGTTTTATTGTTACTCAGAGCTGCTTTTTTTTTTATACAATAAATTATGTCACAATGCTGATTGCTTCAGTCTCCAGAGGTAAAAGTTGGCATTAACTTTGAATCTGAAGAAGATAAGCATAAAATATCTTTGCTGACATGGAAAGACTTCCTGAGCTAACACCCTTTTATTTTGTTTATCAGGATGGTGGCTGCTATGGCGACCTGTTCTGTAAAGCCCTGAAAACCTACAACATGCTGTGTTTTGGGATCTACAGACTAAGAGATGCTCACCTCGGTACACCAAGTCAGTGCACAAAACGGTAAAGTATCCGAATTTTATGATTGCAAAAAACCACAATCTTTCAGATTAAAATGATTTGAGTATCAGTCTTGACAATGTTTGTCTTTTGGGCAGATATGTGATCACAAACCCCCCATACGAGTTTGAACTGGTGCCCTCAGACCTGATCTTCTGCCTAATGCAGTTTGACCACAACGCCGGCCAGTCAAGGACAAGCTTATCCCACTCTTCCCACTCCTCCCATTCCTCCAGCAAAAAGAGTTCCTCGGTACACTCTGTGCCCCCCTCCAACAGGCAGAACCGCAGCAGTAAGAGCAGAGAGGCACGTGAAAAACAGAAGTAGGTGCACTTATTGTACATGCTGTGTGTGGTGTCACTCTGCATGTTAAGTGATCTATATGTGAGCTGTGTTTTTTAGGTGTGTGTATTTGTGTGCAGGCTGTGATGACAGATGTGATGTAATGTCTGGTTTGTGCTGTTTTTTTTTTTTTTTGTTCACAATCATCTGCATGCAGTTTTCACTCAGATCACTGACGATCATAACAGAATACCACCTAATCAATAACTGCCAGAAAACAATTCGACTTCTATTGTATTGATTCTTGGCCCAGTATACAATTTGCCTTCCTGCTTGGATGACACTGTTGTTGGAGACCAGCTTACAGTGAAAAAGTAGCAATGATATATAATATGTTGTTTGGTCTACCTGTGTAATTTGTTGTATTTGTGGTGTTTGTAAAGTTTGTTTGGTAATTATTTGTGCTCATGATCAGTGCCTAGATCATGGATATTTTGTATTGTGATGTTTGGTATATCGAGTTGAAAGAAACTATGGCTTTTGGAAATGCTTCCATCATAAGATCATCCACTTTTAGCAGTGTTGATATTTTCTCACTCATGGTGCATCTGTAGTGCTTTTTTTTGCATGTCCTTGTTGATCAGGCTTTTAGTTCCTGTTCTGTTTATTATTTGGTTAAAATATTAATATATAAGTATAGTAAAAGATTCTAACTTGTGTTACAGCACCTTCCACTTTTATCGACACACCTGGGAAAACATAAATTAACCCTTTTATTGGAGTAGCATAATCCCACTGAACAACTAATATTACTTGAATATGTTTTATTCATTCCACATTAAGGTATGTGTCTTAAAAACTGTTGCCAAAACTTTTAACAGCCTAAACAATTCCTTTAAAATGAATATAACTTGTACTTTGCACTTCACTTTTTAGATTTAATCAGTGTCCAGAAATCTTTGTTAATAGTATAAGAACTCCTTAGTGTTCCTTGAACATAAACATGAAGTAACACAGAAATCTATTTTTCTTAGCCACAAAACAGGCTTAGATCAGAGGCAAACTGGACTTTTGCTCAGTTTTTCTGTAGACATTTTGACACCTATTCCAGAGTCAATGATTTCGACTTGCACAAGAGCAATCTGTTGAATCTGCCAAAAAGCAACATGGAGGTCTCTCCTCCGAAGCACATTCCGAGACAAGTACAAATCAAAGATCCACCTTTCATTCTCCTGGGTTTTTGAAGTCTTCTAGATGAAAATGTAGATGGTTGGAAGCAAAAACCACATTCCTCCGAACCCTAATCCTCCACATAGTCAGCCATCCCCCCAGATGTTAATTCTCAGTTATCTCGGGGGAGGACCAAGAATTTACATCAGGAACGATGACTTCTTGGTCATCCTCTTTGAAGACTAAGAATTTACACAGGAATATTTTGTTTAACTAATTCAAATTGGGAAGGACGAGAGAACATGGGATTAAGGCAAGAACATTTAAGGCAAGTTTAGTTATATAATACTGTAGAATGAAGTAGTAAGACAAGTCAAAGTGTTGTATATCATAAGAAAAAGTACATTGCAAGATAATAAAATAGAATACAAGAATGACCAATTATAAATAAAAGGGAATTGGATTAGAAACTTGAACTAATTACTTTTAGATTGCATAGTCAATTGTCACTCTAAACAAATGGAACTCTAATCTCAACTTAAAGCAACTTAAGAAAAGTTTAGCATCTTTTCTTTAGCAATGGATGATCTTTTGCATTGATTTCTTCTATGCACTTAACCGGTGCTTGAATGGGTTCTTAGTGACCTGGTGACCTCATGATGTGTAGCTGTGTGTTATATGCATGGCTATGAACTTAGACTATGTTCTTGGTTATTAGGAACTGAGTTAGGGGAGCATGTAGATATTGAATTAAAGGGGCTCTAAGATGGACCCTTTTGGAACACCACATGATTTTGGTGATCTCTAATGTAAAGTTATCTAGCGACACAGAAAAGGCCCTGTCTGGTTGGATTCAAACCAGTCAGGTTGTGTAGCAGAAATGCCAACCCATTTTTCCGGGCCCATAAACTGGAGCAATCAACAATGTTGAATGTTGCATTAAGGTTCAATAATACCAGCACTGTGGTTCTTTAACGGTCTGCATTTATGTGGATGTCATTGAACACTTTGAAAAGGGCAGGGTTTGTACTGCGGGATTAAAGTAAGGAATAGTTTTGGACCTTGACTTTGGTGAACCCATTAAAAAAATTTTTTTTTTTAAATGTATGTAAATGCCAGATATTTATATGCTCCGTATTAAATAGCTGCCTAACATTAAATCGGAGTAAAATATTTCTGTATGTGTTACCAAGATTATTTCTATTTTCTAAATTCTAGATGAATTAAAATAACATAGTCAGATATATTCTAATGGATTTCCATGAAATTAAAGTGTATTCTTTGATTTTTGATTTGATTTTTTTTTTCCTTTTGCAAAAATTTTGGCTTAGATCCGATGTTTTTAAGCTCCCTAAAATTATTTTACTAAACACACTGATGTTACTGTGTCTGCTTTGTTGACTGCACTGCTTATACCTTCTCAGTTGTGCCAAAATAAATTCTCTATAGGACTAAGATAAAAGCTTTGCGTCTTATAAACATTGAAACAGAACATTCCTCAGCCAGTTTTTAAGTTACTAATTGTAAGTAATTTTATGGTATTCTCAGTTCTTTGTTCTCATAATAAAAAATATATATTTTTGATGTCCCTCTGCAGCAAAACATCCACACAACAGGGTGTTAACAGCTAAGCTGGGAGGGTGTTCTAAGATTTGCAAGATTCCTCGCTTTCTGTCAAACAAAAAGGTCACTATAAAAAGTCATGATAGCATAATCTGTGTTCCATTATATTTAATCTGTGCTCCAAGTATATTTAAATGTCTACATTTAAAGAGACTAGTTAAATATTTTGGTATTTAGCTAAATTAAATAATTTTGGAAATCCTAACTGACAGAAACCAATAAAAGTTTAGTCTGATTTATAATAGAGTGAGTCAGACGCAAAGAGGGAATTTGTTAAAATAGTCTTTTATGTATTAAGTGTAAATATCTAGTTTCCATTGATTATTAAATACTTTTAAAATTTGTATTGAAGCTTGTAGATAACCATACAGTAACTATAAAACCTTGGTGTCTGAAATTGAATAATATATTGAAAAAGTGTTGATTAACTAAACAAGAGTAAGGCAGCCAACATGGCTGTTCAATGTTATGGCAGAGTGATGGCCTTTGATTAACGCTATGCTACTCCAATCAAAGATTAACCTATTTTAAGATATGCCAGCTGATAACTGTGAAGGGTGCTGTATTTTCTTTTTGGCATTTTCTCTTCCATAAAAAAAATATTTTAAGTAATGGAACTGAGTTAATTTCAAAACAGAGACACATAATAAAAGCATGCAGACTTGTTTTGATTAAACTCAGGATTGACCAATGTGCAGATAAAGAGTTCTCAATACATCTGGAAATTAAGATGTATTAAACTGCCCAAATATAGAAGTGACAACATGCAAGTTTTAGAGTGGCTAGTCTTTTTGTCGGTTGTGTATTTGCTGCAAATATTACTTACTTACATTAGATTACTTACCTCTTTTTCTGAAGTGCAACAAGGATGAATAGAATGAGCCAAGGTATGCAAGTTAACAATTCTGCATGACTTAGCAACTTTTACCTGGGGGTTTTTGCTTCATAACTATTTCCCCTGTGGATAGTTATGACAAGGGGAGTTTGTTTATTTATCATGTTCTTCAGATGTTGAGCAAACCATGCCTCAGTTTAAGATTTGCTTTCATGTGGAAAGCAAAATGTCTGTTGCTGCTCCTGGCTCCTACCTGCCATAATCAGGCCCATTTCCACATCGCATGAGGCTGAGACAATACCCTCCCCCCACTTTTCTTTGTGCATTTCTCTTATTTGATTATCTAAGTATTATTTTTCTCTGAAATGCATTATTTCTTTACATTATTTTCCATGCCCCTCTTTTATGATTTGTTTGAACTTGGGATGATTTGCATTGTGCGAAAGGTCCGTATGTCTGTGCATCTTCCCTCTTGTTTGAATGCTATCAGACGACCTGTACAGTAGCAGGCTTTAAGATGTCACACCTGTTCCCTAGCAGTGCACTTCAGCACTGTATTTTTACTATCAGCTGCTTAAAACACAGTGTTGTAACAAGATTTCAGCTGTGCAAACCCACATGTTAACTCACATGTAGGTCAGACCCATTCAAATCCCCCCTCCACCCCCCCGATGCAGTCAATTTACTCACCGTTTTACAGAAAATTAAAGAAAGTGTGTCCAGCCCTTTGCCATCGGTCACACGGGGAAAGTGGGAGGTGTGACCAATTTAAAGTTTATATTAAAGAGGTGGATATGAGCCTGTAAGTTCCCTCCTTGTAACTCTGTGCACCTGATATGCTGGTTAGAGGCAACATCAGTAAGTTCACCGTATCAACAGCAGACCATGGAGAGAGATGGCAGACATCTTGCCTCACCTTAGGCACAATTCTACACATCAAATGTCTGTTCTCTAACACACACCCCTGCAGCTTTAAGACTGCTGATGCGCACACACAGAAGTGTAAGAGTCAGAGCAAGAGTCAGAGTACAGGCACATAGTTTGCTCCACTTTGCAATGTTAAAATTTGATGTTATAACTTTAACCCCAAAGGTAGCAAGACATTAGAAGTAGAGACAAGTTTAAGAACTTGTTTGCAGATCTAAATAGACCCTTCTTTTACCTCAGAAACTGAGAGAAGGCTATATTCTGTTTAAAACAACAAATATCCTTTTAAAATTCCATTAAATCTTGATAAAAATTACTGTAAAACATTTCAGACATTGTGCATTAAAATTGTGATCTGTAAGTAAACTGTAAGATCTAAAAACCAAATCACTAAATATAAAAAGTAAACATTCTAAATAGAGTAAAGGGAAATATAGCAAGTTTTTTTCCCCAAGCCTGCTTAGAGATATCCATTTAATTTGGAGGTATCCTTTGCAGTTTTAAAACCCTTTTGAAATGTACTGATTAACATTTTGTTATATTATCCTGTAACATATTTTATTCAAATGTAAATATATGTATCAATAAACATCTACATTGGGAGCTAAGACTTTGATTTAAATAGGACAATTTTGGTGGTATTAATTCAGATTAATTGGTTCAATTCCACTCAATTCAGTTTATTTATTTAGCGCAAATTCACAGCACATGTCATCTCTAAGGCACTTTGCAATTCACCAGATCATACAGTCAAATTGATTCTAAGTTTTCTATCTAAGAAAACCGGTTGATTGCATGTTTGTAGCGACAGTGGAGAGGAAAAACTCCCTTTAACAGGAAGAAACCTCCAGCAGAACCAGGCTCAGTGTGAGCGGCCATCTGCCGAGGCTGAGAGAGATGGTTCTGGACAAGAGTATATAGCTGTAGCCTAGAGGCCTGCCTATTTATTGTGCTTATCATATGGCACTGGTCTGATGAAATTAAGCCACACCCCCAATGTTCTTATCTTTGTAAAAGCATTAAAATCTGCATAACTTGACCGAATTTCCAGTCTTGTTTTTCTAACTTACAATGAAAAAACTGTGGCAAGACCGTTGTTCAAAGAGATTTTTTTTTTATTTAACTAAGCCACTGGGGTTGTGCTTTAAGTTCAACTGACCAGCGCCATGAGTTAAGCGTTATGAGGTCTCCAGGCTGCATCCATGCCTGTTTCGTTCTAGAGGCTACAACTAATGGCTAGTCCAGAGAAATCTAAGACAAAAGTGAACATATTAAAACAACTATGTTCTGAAAATTCCCATAGTGTTTTATGTGATTGCTGCTTTATACACCCCCTTGCTTTAGCTGTAGATGATTAGAAATGAGTATCAACCCTGTTGCATGAAATCTCTACATACAGTGAATTTAGGAAATATTCTGCCCCCTTAAACTTTTCAAACTTTTGTTACATTTCAGACTTCAAGCATAAAGATATATAATTGGATTTTGTTTTGAAGAATCAACAAGTTGGACACAAATATAAATTGTAACAAAATTTATTGGATATTTTAAATGTTTTCAGCAAATTAGCTACTGAAGAGTGGGGCCTGCAAAATTAATCGCCCCCTTTACTTTCAGTGTAGATAACTTTTTCCAGAAGTTCAGTGAGGATCTCTGAATGATCTAATGATGACCTAAATGACTGATGATAATAAATAGAATCAACTTGTGTGTTATCAAGTCTCCGTATAAAAGCACCTGCTCTGTGATGGTCTCAGAGGTGTGGTTAAAGGGCAGAGGATTCATGAAGAATAAGGAGCACACCAGGTAGGTCAGAGTATTTTTTTGTAGAGAAATTTAAAGCCAGATTTAGATGCAAAAACATTTCCCAAGGAGCACTTTTCAAGTGAATCATCACCCTGAACACACAATTCCCATTGTCAAACATGGTGGTAGCAGCATCATTGTTTGGGCCTGCTGCTCTTTAGCAGGGACTGGGAAGATGGTTAAAATTGATGGGAAGATGGATGGAGCCAAAAAGGACCATTATGGAAGACAACCTTTTGGAGTCTGGAAAAGTCCTGAGACTGGGATGGAGACAATGATCCTAAACTTAAAGCAAAATCTACAATGGAACGATTCACAAATATACATTTTCAGGTGTTAGAATGACCAAGTCCACATCCAGATCTGAATCAAGTCCAAAATCTGTGGAAAGAACTGAAAACTGCTGTTTACAAAGGCTCCATCCATCCTCACTGAGCTTGAGCTGTAGAATGGGCAAAATAGTCAGTAGCTCAATGTAAAACATAAGTGTCCTGCAGCTTTAATTGCAGCAAAAGCTGGTGTACCAATTATTAACTCTAGGGGGCTGAATAATTTTGCACACCCAAATTTTCAGTCTTTTATTTTTTAAACAGGTTTAACATAGCCAATAGATTTAGTCTCACTTCATGATTGTGTCCTACTTGTTGATTCTTCACAAAGAATTTACGGTTTTATATCTTTATGTTTAAAGCCTGAAATGTTGCAAAAGGTCTATGATATTATTCAATAGGCTTCTTTAACACTGTCGGACAATAAAAACAAAATAAAAACTAAAGGAAATGTGGGTTAACTGCAGAAACTAATGTCATTACAATATTCTTCAATATTTGGATGTGTTTCTGTAACTGCACAGCCCTAACTAAAATGAGAAATTTATTTCAACCTAAATTTCAAAAAATATTCCTATTTCTGTATTTTGGTAAAAACAGAAATCTCTCGTAGAGATTGATGTCTTAAAGCCTGCCAACATGACTGAATCTTTGAATTTGTAACAATGAAACACCTAAGATTTCTGTCTCTTATCCCACTGAAATAAATATTTTCACAGCAGACAATTCTGCCACATAATTACTTACACTTTCAAAGTTGTATGCCACTGTTAGAACTTCAAATTGGCTTCCATTCATTTTACAAACCTTATAGTTAGAGATTAATCACTGGACAATTTCATGCCAATATTGATCTCACTTAAACTGAGGCAGTTTGGTTGTAAGTAACCTGAAATTGCAAACCTTTCCAAGCTAACATTGTTTTTCTCCTTCTTCTGCCTTGTTCTCTTTAGAAAAGAAATGGTTTACAGATGAACCGGAAAATGCCTATCCGAGGAACATTCAGATCAAGCCCATGAGCACACACATGGCCAACCAAGTCAACCAATACAAATCCACTAGTAGCCTGATTCCACCAATCAGAGAAGTTGAAGATGAATGCTGAACAGGGGCAGGGGGTTTCTTTGATAACTCACCAGACATCTGTGTGACCTGTCTTGAAGAGTCGGGCGGAAATCGCTAGACAAGATGAGACGATATTACCGACAGGGGTATTGAAGACTCTTCTATTCACTCTTTCTTCCAGTCAAGGGTTGGACGGAAGGCCGGACTAGAAGGGATCTCCTGTGTGCATACCCTAAATGTTACTTCCATGCTTTGGACTCTATTTAATTTATGTATCCATAGAGTTGTACATAATGACAATCAAATAAGGACTGTACAGCCCCTCTCCCCTAGCACTTTTTAAAATAATTTTAAGAAAAGAAAAGTACTTCCTGTTATTCTTTGCAATAGTTCACCTCTTCATGAGACTGTGGATAAAGCGATGGTGGGTTATTGGAGAATGAGGATTGAAGCGATAAACTGAAATATCATCTCCCAAAGATCAACCCAGGTGTGTCACGCAAAACCAGCTGGGATTCATCGTCACTGTATTTTCTGTTTGCTTCTGTTTTCTATTTGCACTAAAACATACAAAAAGCCTCTTTTGACAGAAGAACTGGAGGCATCACCCCCCCTCTGGTAAATTGTCTCCAAGGAGATTTACATACGGATGGAGTGAAAAAGGAAGAAAGGGAAGAGAAGGGACGCTGGGCTTTGGATGCATTCTAATCATGTTCTTCTTTTGTTATCCATCATGTTGTCGCTTATGGTGTGCAGATATACCTTGAATCATCACTTTGAGCAAGACCATTCCAGCCCTGCAGAGCATAATCACCTTGTAAAGCAGAAATCTATTAACTCAGAAAATGGTGCAATGAAGGTTCATGCTTCTTTGAAAGACAACTCTGTACCCATATGCTTTCTGCAGATATGTTGAATTCTTAGCCTGAAATTCACTTTCAACCTCACATGTGTGCCTAATCCTCCTAAATAACACACTGTGGCGGTTCTTACACAAATTATACACTGAGCAAGCCCCTCCTTCTGCACCTTCAGAATATTTAAGCAGTATTTAGGGGTTTCTGTCCAGAGTAGACTTCTGTTTAGGTTTGATCTAGAATTTTTAATTTCAAATAAATACAATCTAGATTAAACCAAAATGAAGAAATTGCCTTTTAATTTAATGGCAACAAAAGTAATTAATCATAAATGTTTAACTTAGAGCTTTTACACTGTGCAAAAACAGGGCTGCACACATAAATAATTGACTGGACATGCAAATATACAACAGAAATCCATACTTCCCAAGCCTGCCAACAAGTGCTTGTGATGTCCTCTTTTGGGATGCTGTATTGGCAGTGGGCCATTTCACCCACATCAAAAACGGCCATTAGCACAAACTTTATAGTGTGGTTGATTGGCCTGAAAACATAGAAAGGTTTTCTAGCCTGTTCACTCTGTCACATAATCAGTTCTGTGTGTAAACCTGTGCAGCCACGTGTTTCTCCTGAGTCATGCTTATCACTGTAAAGCATCCATTTTAACTGGATTGTATGCATTGATGCTTTCTGGAGGGAACAGCATGAACTATCTTAGTACTAAAATAAGACTACTAACACTAATAACAACTAAAGGATTTGGATCTGCAAATATTCCTCAGCTATGTTGGATCTAGCATGGATGGCAGCTGGTTGGCCTTCCTGAACATGCTGCCATAGAAAGGTGGCACAACAGGGATCACAAAGTAGAATGTCATATTTTTCTTTTTTTTCACCTTAAAGTTTGTCTCTGTGAAAGTGAATGCCACATAGTGCATAAAAGTGGGCATTAATGGGCCTCCTTTGATCAAAGTCACTGCCTGGTACAGGATTGGCACAGAGGCAGTTAAAGCTTGGATGTTCTCTGCTGCCAATCCAGATATCACATACTTCAAAGACCCTGGGAGTTAACCAGCTGTTTCTATCCTACAAGACAATCATAGTTGAGGAAATTTACCAAGTCCACAAACGGCATTAAAGAACGCTAAAGAGGTGTTTTTGTTCTTAATGCCAGCCTGTGAGCACCTCTAGATCCAAATCCAGCACTTATGGGGTAAAAAAAACCCTACAGAAATGTCTTGGTGGATTTATATATTTAAACTTTATTTTATATGCATAAACATAGCCAATTTGTATTTATTTTTCTAATACAGAATCTAGAATAAATTGCTTTTTGAGATAGTCATAACCTTTAACATATCAAAAAATTTGTGTTTAAAAGATCACTTTATTTTCACAATGTATTAAATTCAGTCAACCCCTGCACCCTCTAACGGACTACATCACTCTGGAGCAGAACAAACTCAGCTCAGCTCCATGGAGTGCATGCAGAACTGAACTTGAGTTCACCTTAATCATTGTTTATTTGCATTGTGTCTACGAATCAATGTGTAAGGGTAAGATGTAGGCGAATTATGTTCTTAGGGGGTGGAATTGAGAAACTGGATTGATGATGAAGAGTCTAAGAAGAAAAGGTTGCTCCCACTGTGCCCAGGCCAGAACTAACTGACCTACAGGAGACGTGTTTGACCTAAATTAGGTCTCCGGTGTGGGGAAAGAGGATGCGAAAAATCACGGCACAGTGTGCTCGTGTTTTCATGAGACAGAATAATTTAATAAGGTAAATAAATATGGCCTGGAGATGCTGTCTATTTACTGCAGTGATTCTCTTCTCTGAGGAAAGGTTACTCTAAGCATAGGATACTGTTTTGGAATATAAAATGAAAAATATTGTGCAAAATATGTTTGTGTAAACTCAACCCATGATATAGACCACATGTCTTTCTCAAACGAAATGATCCAAGCTTCAGTGTTTGTCTATTGGATGTAACTATACTGGCGCTTCATACACATTGTCCTGAAGTGAACTTTTGGAACTGTGATTACATCATTGTCACACATTGTAGCAAATAGATTCCTTTCATGAAAAAAAATAATAATAATGTGAGAAAAATATTTGTATAATTGGATTGTTTATAGCAGATTTACTTGTCGCCTGAATGCTAAGAAATTAATACTGTGACAATGACTCAAACAGAATTGACAACTTACAGTATATCTTAAAGATAAGGAAAATAAGATCTTGGGTTTTATTTAAGAATGCAGAGATTATTTAAAGAAAGTAAGATCTAGTTAAACACCTAGAATGGAAGGTAGCACCAATTCAGCAAGTGTCATCAAAAGGCAGAACATCCTCAGCTTTCCTGGGTTTTACTTTTTTGTAATCCAAGGTTTACATTCCATTTTGTTAGCTTTGTCATTATCTGTCACAAACTGTCACAACTGCCTTTTATTTGTTTACACGTTAAGGGATTTAATAATTCAAACTGACAGCACATGAATTAATGCGTCATTTATTTTCCCTATACTTGTATGTTTGTTTCTACCTGAGCCCCCATTGTGCAACCTATTTAAACCAAGGTTTTAAACAAAATTGTTGCCCTCAAATTCAGAAATGTCTTTGTATTGTATACCTCCGAAGGTTTTTTTTTTTTTGTTTAAGTGCCATGAAGCAGTCATCCTTCTGTCATCCAGAAAAACCTCAGAAAACAATAGTCCTTTTTTTTTTTCTCCACTCTAAGAAATAGTATCTTGTACTGGCATGGAGAACATCCAAGCCACTAATGCCTCCATGCCAGTATAGTGCCAGGCAGTGTAAAGATCGGGAGGAGGTCCCAAAATAAAGTCCCACTAAAAGCGAAAAGTGGCATTCAGGAGTTGGTATTGGGGCTGGCTAAAGTTCAATTCACAGAAATTGTTTCATACTTAGTGTCTTTTATAGCAGTTCAGCTCAAGCTGTGCAGTAGGATGTGGATGACTGAAGGATTCACACTAGCCCATTAAGAAACAGCACACATCAAAGATCGAATGCGATGCATGACTATTTGGACAGTATGTTGTATTTTTATTTTATTTTCAGTTTTAATGTTATTTCCCTAGCTGTAAAAGAGAGTATACTTTATTCAAAGGCGATTGTACTCGATACATCTCATAAGAGGGAAATGGAGGTACGTCTCAAGTCTTAACACATTAAAGTTGCATTCAGCAAATTTGTCAAAAAAGGTTGCTTTTATCATTTCAGGAAGAATTCAGAATATTATTGTTGATTATCCTAGATAGGAAATGTTGGCATATTGTCATTGCAGAATACAGGAGTCTGACATAGCCTTCTAATTACTTTGGATGTGTTTGGATATGAAGGGGAAAGGATTATTTGATGGTGCTGAGTTGATCTACCTGACTCTATCAAATATAATCTGATGATAAATATTCTGTCTTGTAAAAAAAAATAAAGTTTGTACATAGGTTGTACATTATTTCTTTTTGTATTTTCTCAAATTAAAATGGATGTATTTGTGTTCTAATGTTGGGATCTTTGTCTTTTTTTTATATTTCTGTCAAAAATCCCCTCAAGGAGCTTAAAATATTAATGTTCTACTATAGATCATAACATATAGAAGATAATATACTTAAGCTCAAGTTACATAGGGCAGGCCTAATAGGCTTAATCATTCAGTCAAGGATGACCAAAAAATTACAGTTTAAAGAAGATTTTTTTTACAGCTGCATCATCACAACATACATATGTTTGTAAATGATGAGACATCACTAGCTTCAGCCATATTGAAATTTTTCATCCATCCATCAATTTTCTGTATCTACAGAAGCCAATTAAACTAACAGTCATCTTTTTGGACTGTGGGAGGAAGTTTGAGTACCCGGAGAGAACCCACACATGCACAGGGAGAACATGTAAACTCTGGATATATACACATATTGTATAAAAATGTTTTAATATATTACAATTAAGGAGACAAATTAATTTTCTGTCTAAGCAGGGAATTATTAACCTATACAGTATCATTTTCAAACAGCTAACTTTAATAAAGTGAAACAGTCAGGAAGTTCTCTCTGTCCTTGAAATCCAGACGTTTACCCAACAACTACATTTCTACTTAATACTTGGTAGAAATGTAGACTTTTTAAGGCATCCTCCAAAAGTCTCCAGCAGTAGTTTGCTAGAATCTGGGTCCTTTCTTCCTGACAGAACTTATGTAGCCTAGTCATGTTTCTGGACCTCTTTTCCAACTCTGCTCACAAAACCTTAATGCAGTTATTATATATATAATTTCAAAATGAATTTGTCTAAAACTTTGCACTGATGTTGTTAGTGAAAGACAGAGTTCCTTATCTGTCTCTGTCAAGTGATGTAGCCTCACACTACAGAAATATGACCCACTGGCTGAAACACTGTTGAATTCTTTTTGACTTTACAAAGCAGGATAAAAACCTTTTCTGGAAATTGTGCTCAATGAAGGTAAAATATAATCTTTACTAACAGACGTTTTGAGCCAAATTATCCATAAATCACACAAAAATGGAGGGTAGGCATGCTAGACTTAGCCTAGAACATTAGTTGACTTTTAAAGCCAAGGATTTTATTTAAAAAATAAGCTGTATTCCAGTTTCCAGGCATATAAATTGCATCAGGGCATGCCCAAGTTTTCACTGAAACTGCTAGAGGTCCCTGTTTGTCTGGGGTTCCCAGGGTAATTTCAGTCAAAACAGCTGATATTGACTGAACACAGTTTCACTAAGTCTGGAAACTTGTGGAAAAAGAAAACAAAGAAGGGTGAACTATCTCTATTTCTAGCTACATTCCTTTTTCCACTGTTTTCCATTCATCCTTTGACTAGACCTAGAGCTACTGGATTAAGAGTCTGTACAACTGTAGGGTTTTGACATTAAAAATATGCAGGAAATCTGTGTGTTGTATAGTGTATGCCAACCAAATTAAATATTTTCTTATGATTTTGGCTCAAATTTGATGTATTTCATGTAATAGTTTTTATTCCAATGTTGATTTTGAATGCAAACTCCGAACTTTCATTGGGGAAAAAAACAAAAAACAAACAAAATGAACCAGAGGTCAGTTATGCTATGGTGGATTTGACTTGAGGAGGATTTCAAAACATTTACTGATTAGAGCTTCATACAGTCTTTAGCCAGCTTGTCATGATACTGACTTTCAACAAGCATTACTGTAGATCTGGGCTTGTCATGGATTTGTGCCATTTTTTGTAGTGACCTGGATCAGGACACCACTTATTATTATATATTATCTATAGAAGCAGGAGCTGACCTACTGTAGCATAGACTCAGATATATGCAAACTGCACTTTATCAAGTTTCCCACTTATAAAGGTGGCTGACCTAGGCATTCATGTCGCACTACTAAATCTGCTTTTCCATTGGATCACGCGTTAGTCTGGATTTACGTTTGCTGAAATACCATTAGCTGCTTCATCGCTTTCACCTGTCAGACTGTCAATCAGCTGGAGAAGAGCGGTGATGGTGGGAGTCGTATTCTGCCAACACTGGCTCATATCTGCACAGAGATACCAACAGCAGATGAGCAAAGGACATCTTTGGAGGTATCTTGTTGTCAATGCTGTACATTACATTTTTAAATGCTTAGCTTCTTAAATTCTGCCTGCAAATACAGTTATTCCAGAGGTAAATGAGTTATAAAGAAAATAATGCTCTTCTCGCCACTTTAGAGTTATATCATGTCAAAGCAAAGCCTCAAGGGAGATAAGTGTGTCATTAGATGGCAATAAACGTAAAGGACATTTAACCTTATTGCAACATTACAATTTTCACACCAAACAATCTGCTTGTTAATAGAATGACTCTCCAGTTTTACTGTTATGTTTTCATGTTGTGACATATTTTGTTCCAGTCAGTTGACAGAGAAATAATTACATTAGACAACAAAACTTAGACTTAGTCAGACTTTATTGTCATTTTGTTCACACAGAGTGTATACAAAAAGAAATTTCGTTCACTACTAGCCTAGTAAACGAGCCCAAACCCGCCAGCGGCCAAAATCATTTTGGCCTGCGATTTTGGTCTAGCCTCGATCAATGCCCAGGCCCTAGAACTGGCGGGCCAATCACAACACAGAGATATGTTTTGAATTTTTGGATGCAAAGTGGGTGGGGTTTTGAGGGCGTGGCGACAAAGCTGCACGATGCTGGAGAAAGCACCACAGTAGCATACTGCAGCAGCAACTTTCTATGGAGCGCTCCATTGAAAGTTAAAAATTCTCTTTTCTGTTGCTGTTATTCAATGAAAGTACGTTTTAAGATAATTTGAGGCGAGAATTTTATACTTTAAAGCGTCACTATATGGTCCAGTTACCGATTTAATGTGTAATTAAAAAAAACTATTTCCGAAGTTGAGAGAACTGTGGTAACCAGCGGACCTTCGAGGCTAACTGCAGCCAGGGCTAACCGCAGTCGTGTGTGGAGGACGGCTGACTCTGATGGCGATTTTTGACTCACCTTTGGAATCAATTTTGGAAAGATTAGACTTGATATTTTCATTGAAACGTGAGCAGGAAGAGGCTCTACGCTCATTCCTTTTTAAGAAGGACGTATTTGCCGTTTTACCGACAGGCTGTTTGTTTACACTCCCCCACCAGCTTCCTGTCGCGCTTCCTATATCACAGTTAGTTGCGCTGATTGGCCAGAGCATTGATCAATAGGCACAGACTGCGGTTTGAAAGACAATGGGTTGTTCTCATGAACAATCTCCCGATGACTCATTCATCGGGGCCAGAATAAATTACACACTTAATCTCACATTTAGGCTGGTTTACCAGGCTAGTTCAGTACACCTGTCAAGATATTTTCATTTTTTTAAGTGCAGCAGTGATAAAAGATAAGCAGCAGTGATAAATGTAAATATACGACTGTATATTAGTTACAGCTTCCAACATTCAGGGTTTTTTTCACATAGAAAATGTGAAATACCCCGGTACTATGTTTGTGCTGTCCATACATTAAGGTACGTTCTGATTCATTTTTGCATGTATTATTCATATGTAGGCGTCTGTCAGCTGCTATTTTTTTGACTTTCAAATAAGACAATTCTACCTTCAAAAAATTTTAATCTATCAGATTGTGAGGACACCCCTTCTACACACCCCTTTTTAGGTGAAGCAATTTTTAAACTAAACTAAATGTTCCTCTGGTACACAAGGACAGGGCCTTCTTAAGGATGTTTTTTAGAGGAAACAAAAAGGAAATCCCAGGACTCTGTGATAGGAGGTACATTTAGAAGAATCAAGAACACCAAGTGTCAAGTAAAGTTATTGCATCATCATGAGGTGGGGAAGTTTCGCTGTCATGGATAAAACAAGAGAGGAGGAGAGAAGAGGATAGACATCATGTTTCACACGTTCATCTCTAGTCAACAACAATGTGCTGAAAACATTTACAGTATGAAGAGTGGAAACAAACACCAAAAATGATTTTCAAGAGAAAAATCTGAGAGAAAATAAACTTTTTGAAATCACAGAACTATAATAGGTTTAGCCAGAATTACAGAAGCTTCTTTTGAGACTTCAAAAGCAAGACTGTTTTCTTCAACTTGGTGAGAAAGCTTCCTGGCAATAATGTTAATCTTGTCAGCAACTACAGATTAAATTTAGCCTTACATTGGCCAGGAGGAACTGCAGCTTTCCTCTGCATTTTGTTGAGTCCCTCATAAGTTTATCAGGCTATCATCTTCAGGTGTTGGCACTTAAACAGTCATTGCTCATAGCGCACATGGATTGGTTTGAGTGGGCCAGCAGTCAAGTCAGAGCATGGGGTTGTCATCTCAAATGTGATGCATCTGGTGGTGAGTTTGACGCTTCAAGCTTGTCTTGAAAGTCCTTTTGTACCCTAGAGCGGCTCGTCCTTAGCGAGCTGCAGCAGGAAAACAGAAGTCAATGTTTGTTTTCTTTTTCTGCCAGTCCAGTTAATTCAACCTTCATCTCCACATATCTGACCTTAGTTTTTTCTGAGGAGGATAATGACCTGCTTCTGCATCATCTCTCTGGTGTCGTTGACCAGACCCTTCTCTTTCCTCAGCTGGACTAACACTGGACTAAATGTATACCATACAAAGAACATCTTAGAACAAGGTCTAAATATTAAAGTTAGGCCTTGAAGTTCGGTCTTCCTTAGAACAAAGTTTCTCATTTACATTTCTGTCAGCTTATGCATTAGTAAAAGGAAGCTAGTTAAATGTACTCAGGTAAGTTTTCAGAGATGTAGTTTTCTTACATAATAGTTTGTTATTAAAAAAAAAATAAAGCCAGCACTTTGAAGGTCAGGTGAGAGAATACAATGCAATAAATGTTAATAACTACTGCAAGTATAGGTTTCATCTTATTTTTTCTAACAATTTTGATTTTGTTATTAGATTTTCAGTTATTCATTGTATTTAATGTTCTAAAATTGTCAACAAAATTATATTTTCATGCCCTATTACAAAATGCATTACAAACTAACTTATGATTAAA